ATCACAACACCATTTGATCGACCAAGGTGAATTCCATCAGTGTTGAGGCTAGTTTCTGGTGCAGTGATGGTAACATGATGGAAAACAAGGTTCTTGCAACCCAATACGTTAATGTGAAAGTACTTGGCATTTAAGGAAGTTATGTCTTTGACAACTCCATCAGTAATGAAATCAAATCTTATGCCCTGTTTAAAAAAAATGATGAGAAAAAAAAAATGAAAAATGAAACCAATACAACAACCGGAGAAAAACTTACGATAGGAAGTTTAACACAATGTTGAGTCTTGTGACAATTATTGATATCCCAAGCAGATTCACCCTGACCATCAAAAGTTCCACTTCCAGATAATGTAAAACCGTTTATATTTTGAAAGGCAATCCAATGATCTAGACCTACAAATGCTTTACTGTCCTTGGTAGCTTGCACTGTGCCTTGAACATGAATCTCAATGGGAGCCTTACAAGGGCCTTGTAAGGTCACTTGGCTTAACATATATGTTGATTTGGGAATTACAACTTTATTTCGTTCTGGTGAGGTGCATGCTTCCTTAAATGCATTCATAAGAGCCTAATAAAAGAAAAAAAATATATAAAAAAACTATATTAACTTAACATTAAATAATTTTTTAAGACATTAATTTTTGTCAAAAAATAAATATACGAAATACCTTTCTAATATCTTTTCCAGACTGTGCACCGTATTTGGTCACAAAAAAATCGTCAGCTTTAGTATTGCATGCTAACAATGCTAAGAAGAACAAAACACCCACATAAGTCTTCAAACTCATTATTTCTGTTTTTGTTTTTGAGAACTTGCACTAGGAATTGTGAATTCCTCTTCCTCATCAGAGGCTATTTATGATGGATGCAATAGGAAAAAGTCATACTTTATTCCTCTGAATTTGGAAAACCAATTAGTTCTATTACCTAAATTTATCCTCGTACTATTTTAAAGTTGATGATTAATAATTTGACATCAAAATCAAATGGTCAGTTATTTTTTATCAGAATTTTAAATTTATCATTTTTATATAATTTAAAATTTTTAGTGAAATAGTTACTGTAACTAATCTTTTTTTTTTTAAAAAAATTAAACATCCGTAAAATCGTATATTATTAAATCGTGACATCATTAAAAGGTTATCGACATATATGCACTTCGTTAAATGAAACAAAGCATAAACTTAAATTGTATGATATAATAAGATAATAAAGTTTGTATAATGAATTTGGGCTTGAAAGAGACGGCCTGTTCCGGGTCGGGCTACAGCCTGCTGCCTCAATAGTAAAAAATAATTACCAGCTGCTTGGAGATTTCTCCTGTCAGATGCAGCGGAAGAAGAAGCAGAAAGAGGGGAAGAGATGCTGCAGTGTATATTTCTCCTATCCGATTCCGGGTAACAAATTTTTCTCCTACTGCATTTTCGTCTGTAATAAAGAATTTAAATTTGCTTCCTGCTCGTGCTTCTTATTTGAATTCCCAAAATCTAAATCGTCTCGAGGAAAATCGATCCGAAAAGAAGAAAATAAGGTTAAATACATGTGGATTTAGTATATAGCATGTCGTGACTTTAGGAGTTTTTACAGAGAGGTAATGCTGGAGAAACAGTTTACTGGGCATCGTGTAGACCGATCAATTTGTGCTTGGTTCTGGGATCATTCTATTTCGCAACCCGATTCCTTCAAGGTACTTATAACTTTTGTCTTCTTTCTTCCCATTTCAATTTCTGGTCCCCGTTTGTCTTTAGTTTATGCTCAATTCATGTGATTTAGCTTTACTTTTTAGCTTTTAATTCCTAAAATTACCTTTCTCCTTCAATTTTCTGCTCAATTCAAGTACTTTTTTTTTTTTTTTTTCCTTTTTCACGTTTGAGTATTTCGTACTTCTCTTATTTTTTAGTTTTATGATCACTTCAAGTCCAAAGAAATTTTAAGCTTTATTTTCCAACTTCTAATTTATGGGTTCCCAATTATTTTTTCAGCTTTTATTATCAATTCAACTTCGTGTTTGTTTCTGGGTGGTTTTTTTTTCTTTTTTTTTTCCTCTTTCTTTTCGTTGTGATGGTTTAATACTTTCTTTGCTGTTATCAATAGTCACAACCAGTGATTGCTTCGCCAACACATTACCTTTTTCAAGTTGTTCGCGAGGGGGTCACTTTTTTAGCTTGCACCCAAGTTGAAATGCCTCCTTTGATGGGAATTGAGGTAAATAAGTAGTCTCCAGAAAACATGTTTTCCCATCAGATTCTTAGAATGTCTTCATGTCTTTGCATATGCATTGAACTGCAATGAAGATCCGAAGATTAAGTTTAACTTCCAGGACTTTAGTTCCTCTGCAGAGTAGCTGACGTGCTCTCCATCTACCTTGGGGGATTAAATGAGGATCTGATAAAGGATAACTTTGTAATTGTGTATGAGGTATTTGCCTTGGTTCTTAAGTCTAGCTGTTTGATCACATTCTTTCATATGTAAGGAAACTACCCATAATATTCTTTTGATTGTGTTTGATGTTTCCTCTTCATGCACTTATATGATATATAAATTTCTTTTTTCATGTTTTTCTGATGTTGCTGGGCCGGTGCGTCGATTGAAGCTAATTGGTAGAAATTTTAATTTTGCAGCTTCTGGATGAGATGATAGACAACGGCTTTCCTCTAACTACAGAACCTAACATTTTGAGGGAGATGATATCTCCACCAAATATTGTGAGCAAAGTGTTGAGTGTGGTGACTGGCAATAGTTCTAACGTGAGTGACACCCTTCCAGGTGCAACTGCATCTTGTGTTCCATGGAGAACAACGGACCCCAAATATGCTAATAATGAAGTTTATGTTGATCTTGTTGAAGAAATGGATGCAGTTATAAACAGGTCAACTGTCTAACTTTACCTAACAATCAACTTTTCACTGTAAACTAAATAGATTGTTTTGACTTCTGTACTTAGTTTGTTGTGCCAAATAGAGCAGTATCAAGTCAGTAATTAAAGTAACAAATAGAGAAGACGTTGAGAAAATGCCAACTCTTTGAAGATTAACATCTTTGTCCCTATTACTTGTTTTGCCATCGCATGTGCTCTCTCAAGCTGCATTTATGTTCTATTCTTGTGCTGCTTCCATGTTTTTGGAATTGAGCATCTAGACCTTGGTGTTATTTCTTTATACATTGCATGTTTATCTGGAAGGCTAATAAGCAAAGTTTTTGTCCTGCACATTGATCAGGGACGGAGTATTGGTGAAATGCGAGATTTATGGTGAAATTCAAGTGAACTGCCAGCTTTCTGGTCTGCCTGACTTGACTCTGTCATTCACAAACCCGTCTATCATGGATGATGTTAGATTCCATCCCTGTGTCCGATATCGACCTTGGGAATCACATCAAATTCTGTCATTTGTGCCTCCTGATGGACAGTTTAAGCTTATGAGTTACAGGTATGTGGATTCAAGTATACAGCTATATCATCATTGTTCTGCTTCTTAATTTGAACTTCTCTCCTATAGTGGAAGTTAATGGTCACAAATGAGAATGATAGTTCCCAGTCAGAAGCCAAAGAAAATTAGTAAAGAAATTCTCTTCGGATGAGAATAAACCACAAGATTTTAGATTCAATAATTGTCTCCCTTCATTGCTGTTTCGGAGGAGTTTAAATACATAAAAATACAAGTGCTAATTCCTACCTTTAAGCAATAAGGATAATGGAAAAAAACATGAAACTAGGAAATAGGATAATGGCTTCAACTGCTTGTTGAAAATGGGATAATGACTTCAACTACTTGCTGACGAAGTCTACTGCAACTGCTAGTTTTCCACCTTTTACTGCTGAGATGCTTTGGGTGTGTAACAGAGAGTTACATTTTGGTTTTTATTCTTTCTCAGATGCTGTATTTTCATATCTATGCAGGGTTAGAAAGTTGAAGACCATACCATTATATGTAAAGCCACAGTTGACATCAGATGCTGGGACATGTCGCATCAATGTGCTGGTTGGAATAAGAAATGATCCTGGAAAAGCCATTGACTCGATAACTGTACAATTTCAACTTCCTCCTTGCATTTTATCTGCTGATCTGACTTCAAATCATGGAACTGTAAACATCCTCTCCAACAAGGTGTGTAAATGAAATTACTTTAGTCCCCTTGATGCTATGCCTTGATTTAGTGTGATAAGTGCTAAATGATATCAGTTACTGTACTTGCTATTGATATTTTTGGCATTCGTCTAAAAGTGTGTCCCCATCTGATTAATTTGATTAACATATTTGGGACAGAGCTGCTGTTGGTCGATTGGGAAGATCCCAAAGGATAGAACTCCTTCAATGACCGGAAGCTTAGTGCTTGAGACAGGATTACAGAGGTTACATGTGTTGCCAACATTTCAAGTGGGTTTTAGGATTATGGGCGTTGCACTCTCCGGCTTGCAAATTGAAAAACTGGATCTGAAGACTGTACCTAATCGTCTTTACAAAGGTTTCCGAGCTGTCACACGCGCGGGGGAATTCGAAGTAAGGTTGTAGGTAGGTTTTTATTCTTTTTCTGGGGCAGAAGATCTCCAGATGGCGGTGATGGAGTGCAATTTTTTCTTGTTTGTGCATTGTACGTGAGTTCTGCTGGTCGAGCATTTGAAAATTCTTAGGTGTGAAGGTGCTTTTGGGTGATCATTATTAGTGTTTTCTTTTTGATATAAAATATGAAAGATAGGAGGGAGCAATCAGACCCTGCTTCGAGGGTTCTGCTCAAAACCTGCTAATGGGATGAAGTGGGTTAATCCTTCCTTCAGATTGAAAGGATTTTTGTTGCCCGATATTTAGAATCACTTAAATTCCTTTTGTAAATACATATTTATTTTGTGTCATTTTTATTTTAAGATAGTTGATTTCTGAACAAATTTTATTTATTTTATTCCTTGAAAATATATTTGTTTTTTCAAATTTTTTTCTAATTTCTCACGTGTTATAACATTTATAAAATAAATAGAAAATATTAATATTAAATACCTCGCTAGTTTGTCATTTTTCCAGTACTTGGTGTATTATGTGTTCGACATTAATTACACCGCGTTGGTGGTCTCCGACATCTGACACTTTCCTGGAAACTTCACCCTAAGAATTTTGAAGTACCAAGGTTAAAAGATAATTTTACTTTCTATCCCGCATCCATTTTCTTCGTATTCCTTGGAAACTCCCAAGTTTCCTTGGACAAACTTGTGTTTCTGGGAGTTGAACAAGGATGCTGAGACATTTCCAAGGATCCAACACTTGTTCTTGTTGGATATAATATGTACGTCTTTATGTAACTAATACCTCTCTACCTACATCTATATATACGTGTGCATACATGGACTGGTACCAATCACCTGTCGGTGCCAAGCAGGCAAGCACACAAAGCTTGCATGGAACTCTTCAAAAAGATTCTGGAAGATGAAGATATTTGGTCGGGCTTGCAAATTCCAGAGGACCACGCTGAGCATTTCGGGCTGCGCCATGGACGAACCCACAAGGACTTTGTAGCCAATGATAGAGAGGGGAATGAGTGGAGCTTCACACTTGAACTCCTCAGACATTGTCACAAACCACATCTCTCCGGAGACTGGCTTCTCTTTGTCCAAGAAAAAGGCTTAAAGACCGGCCACAAGCTGACATTCTCCATGGAAGAACAATGGGATTACCGGAAGAGAACTGTCTACAAGCTGAAATTCCAGACAACTAAACCTAATGAGGTCTATTCAGAGACACTCGTTAACATGAGGATATTTGCTGATAACATTGAAACACACTTCACTCCTTTGAGGATCCCACTTCGGCCCATATCTGCAGATCCTAATATTTTGACTCCTGGCTACACAGGCAAGGAGCTGTTCCGTAAAAATCTGTCAAAAATCGATGTTAGGGACGGGCTAAGAATCCCCAAGAATCTTGTCAGGGATCTAGGCATACCTGAAGGAACTGACAAAGTGGAATTTGAAGCCATTGATAGTGCAGGCAAAGGTCGGCGGTTCACCATACTTTTGCCAAATGATAATCCAAACTGGGTCATGACTTGGCTTCCTTTTGTTCAGGAGAAAGGCATCAGGAAGGGCCACAGTGTGGCTTTTTATCAGAAACTGAATGTGGAAGAGGGTGGAAGGGAATATGAAATCAGAGTTTGGGCCCATGTGTCTGGAGGACAAAACACATTGGATAAGGGTTTGTTAGAAAAGCTCGAGATGTGGAAAGCTGAGGATTGTTGCTTCCCTCGGCCTGCGGAAGCAAATCCCATGCTTGTTAATAGAGTAAGACATGCGCCTGGCTCGTTGTCTGTCAAGGACAGAGCAGATGCAGCCCCTGTCAAAGTAAACCAACTTCATTTTTCAGTTGATTGGTATTTTTTTTTCCGTTATTACATGTCTAACATGTATGATACAATCTTCTTTCAGCACAGAAATGTTGAAAATAATGCAAATATTGATATTCAGCACTCTGATGGAAGATCCACTGAGACCATCAAATTAATTATCAATCGAGATAGGGATCTCGAAGCAAGTGGTGGTAAAGATCATGAGGCACCATGTAAATGGGCGGCTAGCTTAAGTCAAAAGGTAAACGGGTTTATTATTTTTTTATCCTCTACTATAAGTCTATAACTGAAACTTGAAAATAGTTTCCGGATACGCAGATAATAATCAGAGATATCTTGAAAGAACATTTACAATCTAATTTCCAATCACTTTTCTCAACTAGTTTGACAAACATTTTGGTCTCAAATAGGTTACCATGCAAAGACTCTTTGTCATTGCCAATTTCACCCTAGAGGTCATATCGACAATTTTTGACCAACTCTCGTCAGCGGACAAGCCTCACTATGCTATAGTTGGTATAACAGCCTCAGTCACAGCCATGCTTGTTTGCATCCTGGAGCTAATTCATGGAGCTCTAAAGCCGGGTGGTTTTAAGGGCTTCAGCATCTTCCCTGACATTGTTGGATGGGTTTGTGCAGTCTGTCAATGCACAGTTACATTCATCAATTGTGGTTTCATCATCCATGGCCATATTGATCCTCCTATCAAGATATCAGTTTGGCCGATAACCTATGCCTTTTTCCTATTATGGGCTATGTTAAACACAACCACTGATATGAGGACTCTAACCCAAAAAGAATCCTAGCTAGAGAACAGAGAGGACAATATTTTTTTTCTTAGCCAAACAGTTTATCTTGGCCACTTCTGCTGTTAAATTTCTTTGCAGGCTTCTCATATAAATGCAGCAGTGCCAAACAAAATCATGATATATGCATTCATTTAATTATCAGCAGCAACTGAACCAGAAAACCAAACTTACCACATTGGGACTATCAAATACAAACCAAAGCAGAAAATCTTATAGTCACATGAAATGAATGACCCCATTAGACTTTATATGAATTTATAATACGGAAGGCAAGAAACAAAGATGATCGACCAACCTGATAATTTGATAGGATTATCAGCCTGCTGATGAATAAAAGCAAATTTGATTTTTGTAACAAAGCACTGACAGACAGTCAATCAGTCCAAAAGTATCAGCAAAGCTACCAAATCACATATTTCGCGAAGATGAGTAATAGTACAAGCAAAGATGTTTGCTCATCAACCTCCATTGATGCTCTTTCTTTTTTACTTCTGTAAAGCAGCTCCATCATGCAGATTGCTATAGGTACGAATAATGTCATCGCTGTAATTAGAACTCATTAAGGCTTATATACTGACAAGAACTGATTGAAAACTGTTGATGGAAGCTTTAACACGATATTGACGATCATGGAGATCTTCACTACTGTAACATATACATAGTTATCGTCAAATAGCTTTGTTAATTATTAAATGAAATATCTTGCAAGAAATACCATTGGAGTTGAGCTCCTTGTTGCCATGTCATTGCCCCTATTATTTTGATTCAATATCTCTTGTGGTTTAATATATCAGCCATTGATAATTTCTGATTAGCCTGAACACAAAATTGTCGTTTCTGAGGTGTGTACTTAGTTATGAGGCACAAATAACAGATATAAGCGTGTGTATATATATATATATACACATATATGTATATATGTATAAATATATACAGAGACAAAGCACGTCTACTTGGAATCGAATACGATGCCAATACTAATTGTACATAATGCATACTTATTAAAAGGAAGGTTAATAGAACAAACATGCAAGTGTAGATTGAAACGAGTTCAAGATCACAGAGTTGAAGAAAACTACGATCATTACTTCATTCCGGCTGTCATCAGTAGTTTCGATTGCTTGACCGACCTGGCTGGATGGCCCTGGTGGTGAAAAAGTCTGCCTCCGGATGAACTGGCTTCTGCTTCAGCTTTCATATTATGATCCTTTTAATATCTGCTTTCTATAATTGTTGTTATTCAAAAATCATATAGAAAAAATAATTGTCACCACTTTTCACAAGAGGATAGTAGCGAGAAATGGCAGAGAGGATTGACATGAAAAAAATCCTAATTGCGAGTCATCTTCCACGTGACGCCTCTTCCTCATACCAACACGATCCTTGGGAGTTTCACCCAAACCAGCCGCCCCAACAATGCTCGAGGGATCTTCAAAGCTGGAGATTCCGATCTGAGAAATATTCGCAGTCTCAGTAAACCCTCCATTTGTCTGAATCTTCAACGTCTCCGACGGATCACTCGGATCCATACCCGCCTCCAAACCGGGTTAGTCTATTTCGACCTAAGTAAGCGTAAAGTCTTACGGGCTTAAAATTATTAAAATAATTTGGATTTTCCTTCTTTTTTTGGGCCGATAATTTATTTTCTGTAACGCTGGAACAGTCATGGGCCATGAGCCTCTTTCATCCCAATTATCTGTTTTTACAGATCTAGCAGCCTCGACCTCGAACGTGTTCGCAGAGAAGTTTTCTCCTCGACGGGAAGATTTGCAAAGAAGAAACAGAGCTATTAATTCACCAAGTCTGTCATTTTACTTAATCATTTGTTTTCTTTTCTTTTTCCGATCTGCCCATTATGGATCCCAGCCAGGTTAGCTGCTGCCAGCCTCCTCTCTTTTGGTTCTTCCTTTCTCATTTTCCTTTTGGGTTCTTCTTATTAATTCGATATACGACTTTGCCTTGTGATTACTATCTGTTTTTGCAAGCTTTAGTTATCCTGCCTTTATGTGTTGCAGTGATCGTGGTTTGAGTCTATAGTTAGATGTGGGTTATCTTTTGGGAGGTTCTTTAATCTTACTTTTTTCCACTTTCTTGCTGAGTCAATTGCACGCAATAGGAGGCCAAACATAGAACAAGAAGGGAAAGAAGACCAAATGTTTGAGAGAATTGAAAATTGAAATTCTGTTGGCGAGAAAACCATAATGAAAATTCATAGAAAATGTTAAATTTTTGTTTTTATTTGGTTTTTCTCAATCTACGGTTTTTCAGTTTTGATGTAGGAAAGGGAAGAAGGTGAAGGTTAGCATAGCGCAGTCCTGTAGTTTTTCTATTCTTTAATATTTGACAGTAAATCATGTCAGGATCAAATGGATAAATGTTCTACATATTGCAAGCTTTTTTAAACTGCATCACCATAGAAGGTCGAAGGTGAGGGTGACAATGATGATATTTGTAGAGTCATCAAGAAGACTTGGAATTGTGAGAAGGAGAATCACCTATAACTTTTTTCCAACATTTTCAGGATCCAACATGATCTGCTAGTCTTGACTTGTCACGTTTAACTTTGTACTTGTTGTATTGTGAGAGAAGGATGGGATGTTAATGTTAAGTGGAAAGCTGAATGTCTGCTTGGGCTCGTTTTAACTGTTGTTCCTTTGAAATAATGCAATCTTACTCATCTATGCAGCCTCCAGTTGAAAATTATGCGAATCCGAAGACATGTTTCTTTCATGTTCTCTTCAAGGTCAAGTATCTCATATTATCTTCATGAAAAATTCTACCTGTCCGAGACCTCACCATAAAATAATATTTTTCTTTTCCCTTTTGGACAGGCTTCATCTTTGGCATTTTACATACTCTCTGCCCTCTTCTTTGACAGCTTTGTGATAATTTTTGTGGTCACTGTTCTTCTTGCTGCTCTTGATTTTTGGGTAGTAAAGAATGTAAGTGGGCGTATATTGGTTGGACTGAGGTGGTGGAATGAAACTGATGATATGGGTGAGAGCGTGTGGAAATTTGAATGCCTTGATCAAGAGGTTAGTTTGTTCATTCCATAATGCATGAGAGCTGTTATTTGTCTTTGCTTTTTTTTTTACCATCTCCGTTGCTTTGTTGCAAACTTTTTGCTTTGCCCTTACTGAAATCTCATATATGCTTATCCCTGTTAATTTAGTCATTGGCGCGGATCAACAAGAAAGATTCATGGCTTTTTTGGTGGACTCTTTACCTAACAGTAAGCAAAATATAATTGGTACTTTGCTTCAGTGTGCCATTTATATAAATCTGGTGTATTAGTAGTAATGGTAATGGCTAGCTAGAAACTGAAAATACCATTTCAGTTAATCAGAAAAAAAACATATATAAATTCTGAAGCAATGGTGTATGATTTTGCTTTGCAACTTATATATATATTTGACAATTTTTAGGCGGTCGCTTGGTTTGTGCTTGGAATATTTTCTCTCATAAGGTTTCAGGCCGATTATCTCCTTGTTATTGGAGTGTGTTTGTCACTCAGCGTTGCAAATATTGTTGGCTTCACAAAATGTCGCAAAGGTAAGTAAACAGATTAGATTCCTTTTGCAGGAAGAAGATTTCCTGATCATGTGTGGGCTATAGCTATTCTTATGTTATTATTTTTGTCTGGGCAAAGGTTTATGCAAAAGCTTTGCTTAGCTCACAGTATTCTCTGCTGGCAAGTAGAGAGGTAATTTTAGAAACAAAAATAATAAAACCTGAATTTGGTGGTAAACACTACATTGAGACTGAAATTGCCTCATGGAGTGCTATAACTTAACCAGCAAATTTGTCCAAATAGTGGATGGTAACATAACAAATCCACACAAAAAATATGGTAGTTGCGACAGGTTAGCAGACTTCATATACTCTATTTACTTCCTGGAAGTTTTCATATTGATTTTTCACATGGGTGGAAACGCCTAAAAGGTAAAAAGTAACAAAATACATCTGCTTTTATTTGGTATGATCTTGATAAGGACCTAGGTGAAAATTTATTTTGGTATAAGATGCTCAATAGACCATTGTAAAGATCAGGGCCTGGATCTGGCACAGAGTTGTTTTTCCTTTTAGATGGTTCATTTGTTAGCCTAAAATCTTTGAAAATCCTGATTGATTGATTGATTACTAAAAAGATTCTTGTTTGGCCTTTCAGATGCAAAGAAGCAGATTCAACAATTTGCCTCCCAGACTATTGCCTCTCAGTTTACCTCTACCTTGCAGTCAGCGTTCAGTGTGGTCTAGCAGAATGTAAAACAAGAAATAAAATGCGGTTGTGGAACGTAACGATACATTGAGAATGGTTGTGGCATGTACAAAACTGGCTCGGTAGAGATCGCTTATTTCTTTCAACATTTTGTAGGAATATAAGACCTGGATTGTATACTGAATTAAAGAGAAAGTGGTGTTTTACAAAACAGCCTTCCATATACGGCTTCTTTACTCTTATGTTGCTTGGCAGTTTTCCTCCCCATGTCAAACTGTGTAGGCATTGTTTAGCAGGAAAATACAATTTATATTTGTCTTACAGCCTCATTACTATGCATTTTGGATTTTTTTTTTTGAATTAACTTACATGGTCTGGAGAAAATTAGTGCAGATTCTTGAATATTAGGCTATGTTGTAATTCAGTCTTGTTAAAGTTTCAAAATTGCTTTAAAACATATATATATATATATATATATTTTTACTAGATATTTCTATAATAGAATGATATCAAAAATATATTTTTTTTTTCAATTTTTTTTTTTTATTTTAAAAAACTAGAAATTGGTTATCGTTGGCCTCTTCTTTTATGTCTATTATTATGATTATTATATTTATTAAGCTTAATCTTTTGTTCTTATGATTTTCAAAGGCTAAATCATAGTATAAGAAATAAAATATGATTATAGTAAAACAAATAATTTAAATATTGACATAACAATTCTAAGAATAAACTCCAATCACTTGATGAAATCTCAAAATTATTTTAAAGGAATGCATGGAGCTTATAAAATTAATTTTAGGTTTATCCCATCGAAAAATGAATTGGCACCCATTTCTAATTCAAAGTCCAAATTTTTATAAGTTTGGAAACAAGTCCAGATCAAACTTACATTCTTGGGATTGTTTTTCCTCAACGTTAATGAAAAATATAAATACCCAAAAGAGCATATGCAACTATAATATTTAAGATACTTCAATTGCATTTTCTATTATAAATTTTAAATATATCTCATTACGCCTTACAAAATTTTAATATCTCAGATCCTGTTATACATCTCAAGATCAGCTTCCCTTTCATTTCCTAATAATGTTTTATATTCTTACTGTAATTTCAAATTAAAACTCAGTATCTAGATCAAGCTGATGCTGCAGCTGCGGGGAGATCAGCACCAGCTTGTTCGGTGCATGCAGGAGGATCTTGTTTGCCACTAAGTATTGGCTTCACGTTCGAGCAAGTGAATAATGCAGGTCCATCCTTTCCGGTATACTTAAGATCGATGTCTCCAACCTCGATGTTCTCACATGGTGCTCCACTGCTGCAAGCTAGACTTGCCACCACTCGAGTTGAGGAGGTACCGCGAATGCCTTTGAAGATCACATTGCTAATTTTAACTAGTGAAGGGCTCTGTACAAATCACAAAAGTTAAACTCGAGAAATAATTAACCATTTTCTGCTTTCCATTCGTTTTAAAACTACTTTTAATTCTAAATTAATACCTTCAAGTTGCACAGGTTATGTGGGCAGTACTCTTGATCAATGAGCATCGGAGTGGAGACATCTTCCATGGTAATATCCTCAAAACGTATATTAGAAACTGTTGGTTTTCCAGGAGCTGAAGGCCAACTCTTGATCCTGACACCAAACATAGCTTTCTTGACAGTACAGTGTTGCATTGTGATCAAATCAACCGGCTCTTCCTTCGCTTGTCTTCCGAGACTTCCAATGGCAAGACCGTGACCGGGTCCGCATATCACATTTGTGACAGTCAAGTTCTTGGTGCCGTCGCCAATAGAGATGCAATCATCTCCAGTTGCAATGTTAGTATCGGTGACTATAAGACCGTCGGAGCGACCAATATGAATTCCGTCAGTGTTGACGCTTGTTTCAGGTGCAGTGATCGTAACATGTTGGAAAACAAAATTTTTGCAACCCAATACGTTGAAATGAAAGTATTTAGCATTTAAGGAAGTTATGTCCTGAACAACTCCATTGGTGATGAAATCAAACCTTATACCCTGCATTAAGAAGTGAATTGAGATTTCACATAATTTTTAAGTAAAGAGAATGATATCAATACAGTGATGAGTTTATATGTTGAAGTTTAATGAATCTTACAATGGGAAGTTTGACACATTCTTGAGACTTGTGGCAATTGTTGACCTCCCAAGCAGAAGCACCTTGGCCATCAAAAGTTCCAGTGCCGGATAATGTGAAACCATCCATGTAACTAAAGGTGATCCAACTATCCAATCCAACAAAGGATTTAGTGTCAGCCGGAGCTTGCACCGTGCCAAGAACCTCAACCTCAACAGGAGCTTTACAAGGTCCAGCCAATGTTATTTTGCTTAAAGGAAATGTTCCTTTGGGAATTATAATTTTGCTCTTAGTTGGAGCATCACAAGCTGCCTTGAATGCATCCGATAAAGCCTGAACCAAAACGAAATAATCATTACAAGTTAAAATAACAATTTACCAGCTTAGTTGAAAAATAATATTACCTGGGTAATATCTTCATCAGGAGTTGCACCATGCTTTGTGATATCGAAGTCTTCAGCTTCGGCATGAGATGCCATCAGCACTGTCAAGAAGAGAAGAAGAAGATGGAACTTGACACACCCCATTATTTGTTCTTTCGATTTTTTCTGGTAATGATGAAGAAGCAATTTATAGTGGATGCAGTGGGAAAAAGTCACCCGTTTTATTCTCAATTATCTAAATTAATTTATGCTATTTTTGGATTTACTTTTGACTCCTTTTCTTTTCAATTATGTAATTTTAATTATAAAAACAATATAATTTCAACAACAAAAAAATTAATTAGATCAATTTTAATAGATAATAATAGCAATCTCTCAATCTAAATTCTAATTTTAAGTAATACTCTTGATTAAATAGTATAAACTCTAATTAGATTTTGAAATATTATTTTTTTAAAAAGAACAATTATATTGGGTTACTACTAAAACACATTGTCGCTGAATAATTTATATATTTGAAATATTATGTAATATCCAATTAATTTTAATGTATTTAAAATTAATTTATAAATATAATTTTTTTTTAAAAATTTTGAATTTTAATTTAATGTAAAAATGAAGAAAAATAGGTGAATGATGAAATTAAAAATAATTTTGAGAAAAAAGGGGTGAAAATTTGAATTCTGAGAGTATTTTTGAAAAAAAAATCAGAAAATAGAGATCAAAACGTAATTTAAGAAAGTTATGTCACGTAGGATGCCCAATCAGCAGCCCCGACGAACCGGGGCGCGCCACGTAGCAAGGAACGCTGACGCGGTACCACGCGTGAGGCCACGCTGGCGATCTGCGTGCCCACGATCAGACGATCCAGATCCACTCCCGCGCACACAGAAGGCTCGGATGCGTTCCCTTCCCATATGCGATCGAACGGTCAGATTTAAACGCGATCAATGGTCCAAATCTAATTTCTATTTAAACGCGATCGAACAGCCCATATCAGATCGCGATGAACGACCCAGATTCACTACTTATTTAATCGCGATCGGACGGTTCAGATCAAATACGATGGATGACCCAGATTAAAAAAGAACGGATATAAATAACTATCTTCACACCAAACCCTAACCCTAGCCCTCAGACTCCCCCTCCCCCGCCAGAGAAGACCCAGCCACTGGGAAGGAAGCTGGCGCCACCCGCCGCCGTGCCGGAACCACTTCCGACCGCCAAAAGAGGTAAAAAAAATTTTTCTTTACTCAAAATTCAATTTTAAACACCCTTATGACCAAATCAGAATAAAAAATCTGGTGGATTGGCCAAAAACTGCGGGTAAAATCCGATGCCGCCGCCGCAGAAAATTATAAAAAATACCTCCGATGAGGTACTTCCCAATTCCCGTTCTGCATAATTCTTCCACCATTGTAATAACTGTTTCCTTTTCTACAGGTTGACCGAAGCAAAACACCCAACTGCAAATGTGAGCCGGCGGAACTGCTACACCAGAGAACCCCGCCGTCGGTGAGTTTTAATTTTTTTATTTTTTTCGGTCAATCGAGACATCTTAACGTATTTTTTTGCAGGGATTGATACAAAACCAGCCGAATTTAGCCGAAAACGATCGAAAACAATTGACTTGAGGCAAACTGTCGCCGCGACAGCGATGCCATCACCGGAGCACGGTGGAGCCACCGTGCCAGAATTCTGAAATTGGCTAAAAAGGGGCATTGACACTGATTTTGGATTTTTTAAATATTTCTAGATACATGTAATGCATTTTAATCCCCAAAGAAAAATTCATGGAATTTGGGGACTGCTAGTAGGCGCAGTCAACAAGTTTAGTATTTTAGGCATCAATTTGAGTAAGAATCTCTCACCTTATTCTTTATTATAGAATTGAAGTCTAATTAGTAATAATACGGTATTTTGTGCAATTTAGAAAATATCTATAATTAATTACGAGTTACTAATGGAGGCAGAACCAGAAATTATTCTCTATTGATTTCTGTTGATTTATTTTACAGTTTGAATGTATGATAATATTTGATTGATCGATTTTATAGCTTTAAATGCATGTATTGTTGCCCTATGTAACTATAGTTAAATTGAAAAACTGGGACGTGATGCATGTTTTATCGGTGAGTAGCATGATATTCTTATTGGGGTAGTGTAACTAATTTTTTCATTAATTATTTCAGATTAAGATGACCATAATACAGAGACCGATCCACAAGAGGAATGTGAGTAAAAATTTCAGTCGTTTATTTTTAATTTATTTCTTTAGTTATTAATTGTTCTTTTAGAAAAGTATTCGCGTAAACCCAATTTGATACTTTCAGTTATTGTGTAAGGAATGTAAACCCTAACTATTTATTTCGCTTACTCATTAAATTTATAATTTATTTTATTTAGAATTTTTAGGACTGTTACATATTATTTTAACTATAATATTATAAGACATTAAAACTAATTAGATTATTTTAATTTCATGCTATAGATAGATTATTTTAATTATTTAAAAATAAAAAATTAATGCCTTAACACGTGACACCTTCTCATATTACTTCTATTTACATATATTATATATGTATATATATATATATATATAGAGTATAATTTGCAGTCAAATTATATTTTATTTCATTTTACATATTCGAAATTTCGTATTTGATTTGAGTAAAATCACCTCTGTCTGATTACACCTAATATGTTAAGATAAGCCTTTGCTTTCTTCCCCTCCAATCCCAACTGCAAAATCCTCCCTCACTTTCCCTCTCTCCGTCGTCAACCTCAAAACACCTCACGTCCCCCCACCGCCGGACTTCCCTCTGTTTCCGGCGGTATTTAATTCTTAATTTAATTTAATTGTTAATACTACTGCATGCATATACACAGAGAATATAAATTTTTTTAATATTTGTCTGAAACTTATGACTTCCTTTCTTCTTCCAGTGTTTAATCATCATGCTGCTTTGTTTTTAAATTACAATTTAAAATTTATCAAAATTTTATCTTTATTTGATGATATACGTACATATAGTGGTAATAATTAATTGAAGAAAATATATAAATCATACGCCACCTTTGAATATTAGATAATGCAATGCATTTTCTTTTATTATATATCATTTGTATCGTACAAAAATTTTAATATTTGAGATTTTGTTATATGTCCTAATAATACTTTATATTTATCATTCTTTCAAACTAAACTCAAGATCTAGGTTAAGCTCATGCTGCAGCTTTAGGGGGAGCTGGACCACTGCATGCAGGAGGATTTTGCTTGCCGCTAAGAATTGGCTTCACGTTCGAACAGGTGAATAATGCAGGCCCATCCTTTCCGGTATACTTAAGATCGATGTCTCCAACCTGGATGTTCTCACATGGTGCTCCGCTGCTACAGCCAGACTTGCCACCACTTGAGTTGAAGAGGTACCGCGAATGCCTTTGAAGATCACGTTGCTAATCTTAACAAGTGATGGATTCTGAACAAATTACACGAATTAAACTGCGAGAATAATTAATGACTTTGTCCATTCATTTTAAAATTACTTTTAATTCTAAATTAATACCTTCAAGTTGCACAGGTTATGCGGGCAGTACTCCTGATCAATGAGCATTGGGGTGGCGACATCTTCCATGGTAATGTCCTCAAAATGTATATTAGAAACGGTTGGTTTCCCGGGAGCTGAAGGCCAACTCTTGATCCTGACACCAAACATGGTTTTCTTAATTGTGCAGTGTTGCATTGTGATCAAATCAACTGGCTCTTCCTTTGCTTGTCTTCCGAGACTTCCAATGGCAAGGCCGTGACCGGGTCCGCACTTCACATTTGTGACAGTCAAGTTCTTGGTGCCATCACCAATAGAGATGCAATCATCTCCGGTTGCAATATTAGTATCGGTGATTATAAGCCCGTTGGAGCGACCAATATGAATTCCGTCAGTGTTGATACTTGTTTCTGGTGCAGTGATGGTAACATGTTGAAAAACAAAGTTTTTGCAACCCAAAACATTGAAGTGAAAGTACTTGGCATTTAAGGAGGTAATGTCCCGAACAACTCCATTGGTGATGAAATCAAACCTTATACCCTGGATTAAGAAATCAATGAAAATTTCACACGATTTTTAGTAAAGACAAAGTAAAAAAGAACTTGCATCAGCGATATTAATATAATTATGAGTTCTGCGGAAAGTTTATGAAGAGAGAAGAAAGATAAATGAATCTTACAATCGGAAGTTTAACACATTCTTGAGACTTATGGCAATTGTTGACTTTCCAAGCAGAAGCACCTTGACCATCAAAAGTTCCAGTACCAGACAATGTGAAACCATCCATATAACTAAAGGTGATCCAACTATCTAATCCGACAAAGGATTTAGCGTCAGCCGGAGCTTGCACTGTGCCAAGAACCTGAACCTCAATAGGAGCCTTGCATGGCCCAGCCAATCTTATTTTGCTCAAAGGAAAAGTCCCTTTGGGAATTAGAATTTTGCTTTTAGCTGGAGCAGCACAAGCTGCCTTAAATGCATCCGATAAAGCCTAAACCAAAAGGAAAAAAAAAAGGTTTTAGACATCGAATAAACACAGTGATATGTATATATATATATATATATATATATAGATTTGCAAATTTAAAATAATAATTTACCATTTAAATTTAAAAACACATTACCTGGCTAATATCTTTACCAGGAGCTCCACCATGCTTTGTAATATCAAAATCTTCAGCTTGAACGTGATATGTCATCAACACTGTCAAGAAGAGAACAAGAACATGGAATTTGACACCCCCCATTATTTGTTTTTTTATTGGTTTATTTTCTTACTCTCTGTGTAATTTTATTATGAGGTTTGATTTCTGTGCTAATCAGCGGGAGCAATTTATACGAAGCACGGCAGGAAAAAGTCGCCCATTTTATTCTCAATTACCTAAATTTGTCCATGCTATTTTGGCGATGACTTGACCAATTTTTCTTCAATCTTGGAACGCAGAATTTTGGGTGGTGGGTGTCTTAATTTGAAGTTTTAATTACAGAAAATCCATGTAATCTGATATTTCATAAATTCTTAGTGTAAAATAGAACAGGCTGGCCGGATTAGTAGTGCCTCACTGTTAGACCAGCATGCCTTTCTTTGTAATTCATGATGGGTTCAACAAAAACTTTTCAAAATCCTCACTGATAATTCTATTTGGATCTACTTGTTAGATGGTCATTTCCTTATTAGGTCTGCATGTTGTTTAGTCTCTCTGCAGGTAGCAGAAGCGAGTCGGCATCACATTTGGCAGGACATTTGAAGCCTCCAGTGCCTCATAGTGTGTTTCGTTTCATATGGCTTGCAGTCTCTCGAAGGCAAAAGGCTATTTGACCGTGCGCAGCATTGACAGATGCCGCATTACCAAGAGGATTGTAATGGTGACAGAGACTACTATACATAGTTTAAGAGGTGAATACACCAGAATTTAAATATATGTATATATATATATATTTTAGTGACCATATTATTATCTTGTGTTATGTGTATTTATGTATGGCCTCAAAATAATTGTAAACTTATGAAAATAATAAATTAATAATTAATATTTTATATTTTTATTAGCATGTTTAAGAAGAAGGTACAGTAGAAGCATAAAAGAGGAAAGAGGTTTTGAATTTAAGCTGTGCGCTCGAAATATACTGGCCGTTAGATCTTCCCAACTTCTCAGATATGATGTCATATTTCGGTATCTGAACAATAACACGTGTCGAGCAAAAACTACTCCTTATCATCATGTCATCTTCCTCTCGGATTCCCCAGTTTCTCTCGCAAATGGCGAGTATCCTCCATCCCCTCTTGCCTCCAACTCCCTTCTACCCAACTCATCTACTCTCCGGTTCTACGCCTTCCACGACGTCGTTTCCGTTCTCACCAGCCTCAACACCATCTCGCTCGCTCTCCCCAATTTGTGGCTGCTGCTCCTCAGCTCCCAACTCGTCCGATTCCCTTCTCTCCTGTTCAATCCCTCACAAATTCCAACTGGTAACTCTTTTTACTGCCTTTTTTTTTTCTTTCTCCCATTTTGAACTAAAACTAACCTCGCGACGGTGTGATCTGATTCACCTGTTCTCTACTCGCTAAATTGACAATCTAAAATGGCTCGTGGCAAATTTTTAATCAGACTAAACCTTTTACGGTTCCGAGGAGGAGCGCAATGGCCTTGATCTTTTCCAGTTATATTTTCTCAGAAACTAATTTTCACGATGGTCTTGCACTGGCTCAATCCTCAGTTGGGTTCAGGGAATACATCGATACCTTTGATGGGTATTCTTTCAAGTATCCCCAAAACTGGATTCAAGTCCGAGGAGCCGGAGCTGACATATTTTTCAGAGACCCCTTTGTTCTCGACGAGAATCTTTCAGTGGAGTTGTCTTCCCCTTCGTCGTCCAGGTTTAAGAGCGTTGAAGACTTGGGTCCCCCTGAAGAAGCAGGGAAGAAAGTGCTTAGGCAGTATTTGACGGAGTTCATGTCTACTAGACTGGGTGTCCGGCGTGAGTCCAATGTTCTATCGACTTCCTCTCGAGTTGCTGATGATGGGAAGCTCTATTACCAAGTGGAGGTAATGCATCTTGGCATCCTGTTTTGCTGGTTAAATTCAAATCAAGAGGCAGTTTGATTTTGATTCATCTTCTTATATACACACACACACACACACACACACATCTATATATATCAGCATCTCACTCGATTATTTATAATACTTGTGCTAGGGTATGTTTAACAAATCAAGATTTTTTGTGGAATTCATTTTGAACAACTAAGAGGGCTAGAAATTTTACTTGGAAGGACAAAAAAGTTGAGGAAATAAAATTTTATGTGGAATTAAAAAAATACAGATCAAATTCCATTACTATTAATCGAATGTGGAATATGTTGATTCAACTCCATATATAATTCTCTATGAATTCAGTTTGTATCATTTAGATAAGGCTCTTGTCATCTTATCATCTTATAATTAGGAGATACAAAACTTGATGGACTTTGGAAAGCATTAGTTTTGAAGAGTTTCACATTCTCCTAGTCAAACTAGGTATGAATTTCTAAATGAATTCTTAAGAAATTGTTGATTTGCTCCAAGTATAGCTGAAGACTATGTTTTCGAATGAATTAAAAAATAATATGTTCATTTGCAAATTTACACTTATCTTAATCATGAGAAGGTGTAAATTGTATTAAAATCTTAAAAAATAAGTATACATAGAATTTTGATGGATTTTGGAATTTGTTGTTTTGATACCATATGTGTTTCAAGTATACATTTACAAATGAATTCTGCACAAATATTGGGATTTGTTGAGATATAGCCCAATAATGACTCTGGGAGAGAAGGTGATTAAAGTGAAATGGGATTTTCTTTTTCCGCATAACCAACAGATATATACATACTTGATTATATTTGGAAACAGATTCAGCACTTTACATGTGATTGTGTTGTATTGAAGACAGAGTTTCAAGATGAGTTTAGACATGGAATCTCTTGTTTTTCTTTACAGAATCCAAACTATATGTCTATATCCTGTATCAATCATTGATTCTCTTAGTTATTTTATATTTGAAGAACAATATATTTGCTTGTTTGGACGATCTCGACTACTCATAATGTGCAGTGTTGGAGATGGTCTAGTAGAAAGCTATTCCTTTTCTTGTATAAAAACCATAATATTACAAATATTCCCTGCTCCTTAAAAAAGAATTCTGAACCTTGGAGTTTTTAGGTAAACATAAAGTCATATGCAAATAACAACCAGCTGGCCGTCATGCCACAAGAACGTGTTGCTCGCATGGAATGGGATCGGCGATATCTTTCTGTTCTTGGAGTCGAAAACAACAGGTTATACGAGTTGAGATTACAAACGCCGGAAAATGTATTCGTAGAGGAGGAAAATGATCTTCGCCAAGTTATGAATTCTTTTAGAGTGAACAAAGTGGCTGCGTGATGAGTTTTTGTAATCTTACATATGAGTCATTTTTTTTGACAGACATGATTCATAGTGAGATACCCTGTAACTGCAATACACTAGTGTATTCATTTTCCATATTAAATGTATGTATTTGCTCTTTAGATTGTTGCATCTAAGCGCGTTTTGGGAATTTATGTCAATGAATTTGCAAATTTTCTCACATAGTATCTAAAGCATTGGATCGGCTGTGGCTTACCAACTAGTTCATAGCAATTAAATAAATTTTTTTAATTGAAATAGTCACGATAGATTAACAATACGGTCTTATCTTTATAGTTTTAGAAAATACATTTCTGTATGATAAGATCATTTCTATAGCAAGATCAGATAACCAAGAAGCTTGAACAATTAAAATTAAAAGCAAGGCTGATAGTTCTGTGTTTGCAGATCAGATAAAAGAGTCCCCAGATTGAAAGGGAATTGTTGACACTAGCATATTTACTTTTGTCTTTTTTTCTTAATATATAAACATATACGTATATAACTCCAACAAGAGACCTTTATGTGAATTCCCATCTGTTGAATGAAGCATATCCATAACCCATGTAAACCTCTCTCGGTCCACCTTCAAGTACCGATGTATACTTGGCCGTGGTTTTCTCACACCATTTCCGTGTCAGCTCTGTGGATAATAACCCTGTTTCTTTCTTGCACTTTTTCACCTCACAGCCAGTCGTCTTTGATAGCACTTGTCAGACGGGAATGTCAACCTGGCTGACACGTGGCAAAATCCCTATGGTGGAAATGATTAGTTGTCACATGAAAAGGAGTGGGTGACAAATCCCTTAACACGTCAGCAGCATTTATCCACGTTCGCACGTGCATGATTTTCTAAGCACTTGGCTGTTCTTTGAGGTTATAAACAGACATTTCCATTTTTAGGCTGATCGCATAACAGAGGTTCAATGTTTTTTCCAAGCACCTAAAATCTTTCAAGGCCCCATATTTAGCATCCAACTTACTAAAAGTGTCGGACTTTTAAATCTCCACACCAACAAATTAGAAGATTATAATTAGAACGTAGAACACTACGATATTATCCAAACGGAATTCTGATTTCGTTTTAAATTTAACTGGTGGAAATTATTTAAGTTTACTAAAAAAGAAAAACCAGATTGTTTTACACCTTACATCAATTTATTCTTGATAAAATTACTATACTATCATAAAAATTGTTCATTTTGATGAACTATGATTATTGTTATTAAATATAAAGATATGATTTTTTAATTATTGATTTAGAGTTTTAAGCCAAATCTTAATGACAATCTCTGTTGGTTTTCTTACAAGTTTAACCACCAACAAAAGCATGTCTTTTTTTTTTTCCCATTTGTCCACGACAGTCCCCTTCCCTCCTCCGCCGCATATATAGGTCAAAAGCCCAACTTCTTCTCCCTCGAACGATTCTGTCTTCTCCCAACTTGAAACACCATTTTCCCACCCCCCTTGCATCACAATCTTATCTCAATCTCAACTTGCTAATTTTCTCGCATCTATCAATCTTAAACTTTTTACTTTTGGGCAATACTCGAGGGAACGGTTGTACACGTGACCAACTCTCTCATACGTACGAGTTCTTGAAAAGGTTTGATTTTGATTTCTCTATCGTCAAGTTCAGTTTTCTGTTATGGCTACTCTCAGTTTTCTGGGAAGCTCCACGATGAAGCCTTCTTGTAGAATCCTGATCGCTCGTCGAAGCGCCGCGTTTTTGGAATTCCCATATCCGAAACGCCTCCACTCCTTAGCCAACAATTCTCCAAGCTTTCGTTTCAGTTCCGGTCCAAAATCACAGTTTTCCCCCCACCCCTTTCGTCTACTTGGTTTTCCACGAGTAACCAACAATACACCCAAGTGTTTTTATGCACCCAGTTCCAGTTTTGGTCAATATAGAGCCACATCGAGACCTAGCAATCTAGCTTCGGCAACGAGAAGCAGATATGTTATTGTTGCGGCAAGTGTTGCATCCAAGGTGAGGGACCTCTCTACATCTGTTGAAACTCGTGTTAATGACAAGAACTTTGAGAGGATTTATGTTCAGAATGGTATCAATGTGAAGCCTTTGGTTGTTGAAAGAATTGACAAGGATGAGAATATTGTTGGTGAAAATGAGTCCAGGATTGAGGTCAATGGTGAAAATGTTAAAGAAGAGATTTTGGAGCGTGTAAATGGGGCTAAGATTGAAACTATCAATAAGAGGGAGGAGACTAATGTTGAAAAGGAGGCGTGGAAGTTGTTGCAAGATGCTGTCGTTTTATATTGCGGATCTCCTGTGGGAACTGTGGCGGCCAATGATCCAGGTGATAAGCAGCCGTTGAATTATGATCAGGTTTTTATTAGGGATTTCGTGCCCTCTGCTTTGGCTTTCTTGCTTAAAGGAGAAGGAGAGATTGTAAGGAATTTCCTCCTTCATACATTGCAGTTGCAGGTATAATATTCAACTCTAGATATTGTTTATTGGCCTGTGTTCTTACCATAATTTGTTACAACTATTTAGTTTTGAGCTTTTAATGCTTGTTTCCTATCATCATGCACATCTTAATAAATGTCAAGAGGTTGCTTCTTATATTGATCGATTTTAACATTGTCTGGAAGGAGATCGATTATGGATCTTAAGAAATAAGTTTCTTGTTCTGTTGAATTTGGAGAGACCAACTCTAAGAAATTAAAGCCTGATTTGAGGTTTCTCACTTGCATGGAAAAACCATTGCCCTATTAACCACAAATAAAGAGTTCTTTTAGATGGTTGGGGTAACTGAAATTTTCCCTAATAAACTCAAGGATTAGATCTGATTGCATTCTGTATGTTAGTCGGTCCTGCAGTTTGTTTGAAGTTAGTTCTCCAGTTTAATTATGGAAGAAATTGTATATCTTCTTTTATGCAATTTCTTATGCATAACCCTACAAGAGTTGATCTAAGATCATAATGCATAAAAAAGTAATTGGTTACTCATGCATGCATGAAGTTAGTTCTCCAGTTTAATTATGGAAGAAATTGTATATCTTCTTTTATGCAATTTCTTATGCTTAACCCTACAAGAGTTGATCTAAGATCATAATGCATAAAAAAGTAATTGGTTACTCATGCATGCATGAAGTTACCTACGTGCATAAATATGAAATGTGTATAAATACATATACACATAGAAGTACATACATACGTGCATACATGTAAGATATGTATCTGATTGGTTGGGGTATTGTATTTCTAGAACTTACAATTCTTTTTTTCGGTT